TTGGGTATCCTGTTTGGATACATACAGGTTTTAGTTGTTCTGTTTTTTTGCCCACATAGTACCTTCAGTTTCTTGTGTATGTTAGATAACAGTTCCTTTCAGATACATGATTTTCCATAATTTTATCCCAATCTGTAGTATACCTTTTCTTCGGGTTCATTGTTTTCTCCTTGAGAAGTTTTAAAGTTGTCCTTTGTCTTCATGTTTACAATTGCTTTCGTTAGCAGTGATTTCTGTGTCACATTGGGAAATAAAGTGAGAGAGATGGGAAAGGCATTGTATTATTTCTGGGTATAATCTCCTTAAATTTTTCTTTTTGCAAGCGGTGTGCGCAGATTCAAGTTTCCCCGAAATAGTCACCCTATGTTTTTTCTTGGGAGCTTTTTTGGTTTCAGGATTAGACTTAGGTGTTCATTTTGTTTTGATGTTTGTGTCTTGTGCAACACAGGGGTTTTACTTAAGTCCTCTGCACGTGAATACCCAGGTTTCTGAACTTGGGGGCCGTTGGTGTTTTGAGACTCCATCTCAAAAAAAGAAAACTACATACCTCCCACCCAGTTTGCCTGCTACAAAATTCCTGTGAGCATCAAAAACTTTACTGAACTCTAAGTCATCCTGCTCACCTGAGACAAATGCACATTTGTCTTCCTCTGCAGATTCCCCAAGCTAGGCAAAGGCCTAAGTGACAGATGGCCAGGGGTAGTGGCTCATGCCTGAAATACCAGCACTTTGGGAGGCTGAGGCTGGTGGATCACCAGAGGTCATGAGTTCAAGACCCACCTGACCAACGTCATGAAACCCTTTTCAAATTATTATTATTTTTGAGATGGAGTCTCGCTCTGTCACCCAGGTTGGAGTACAGTGGTGCCATCTCTGCTCACTGCAACCTTCGCCTCCCGAGTTCAAGTGATTCCCCTGCCTCAGCCTCCCAAGTAGCTTGGATTACAAATGTGTGCCACTGCACCTGTTTTTTCTCCTCCTCCTCCTCTTCCTTCTCCTTTTCCTCCTCCCCCTCCTTCTCCTGGTCCTGGCCTGCTTTTTAATACACCTTTACTACTGGTCTGCAACTTGGCTCTATCTGGCGTTCAGCCTTATGACCCTCAGTCGAATTATTTCTTCTGGGGAGGCAAAAATTGAAGGTGTTGCAGATGTGTACGGATTCATCACCAGGAAGTCAGATACCTTCCACCAGTAACAGGTCAAGGATGCTGGGCAAAAATGTTCTGTCCTGGCCTGCAGCCCTGCATGCTTTTTACAAATGGTAGTAGCTCTAATGTCCAGGCATGGCCACTGCACCTTTTCTGTATGAAAGTCCCCTCAATAATCCTGTGTCTCCTGATCTCCTCTACCTCTTCCACAACAATGCCTTCCCTGCTGGAGTAAAGTGGGGTCCCACAGGGCACCCCCCTTGCAATTTTTTTTTTTTTTTTTTTTTTT